TCTCTAAAAAGAGTCTGATTTACTCTTGCAGTAGATATTTTAAAGTGTTTAGGCATACAAAACCACCAGTGGGGTAACTGCTTAAATACTATATGCAGGCCACGCACACACACACGCACACACACACACACATACTCAAGTGCCATAAATCCTTGGTGGAGTGGGGGGGCTGGGAGGACGTGTCAGGACTTGCCCATGTAGGCGGGTATCCTATCAATAAAACTGACCTTTCCCTCAGGGGGGTCATAAATCACTCTATGACAGAAGGTGTAGGGTATATACCACTGCTGCCATTGGCCCAGACTTTCTGTGGGGCAAGGCCGTGATTGGTTGGGCCATGTTCAACCCCCGCCCCCCCTAGTCACATGACTTTTTTGATGTGAGGATCAAGGAAGCACATGGAAGGACACACACTTCAGTGCGAGTGTTTGTTTGGAGGTAACACGGCTGGAGTGAGCGGAGTCTAAACCTGCTGGATTCTCTGATTCAGGTAATTTTTAAAACAGGTTGCTTGTTTCTATCAGTGTGTAGAGGATAGGCTTTAAACATTTCTGCACTGTTCAGTCTTTAAGACACAGTCATGCAGAGTGGTTTTATGTGAAATAGACTGTAGAGAAGCTTCCTAACTCAAGTCTTCCTCACAGTGGTGGTGATGGGAACCAGAGGTTGTGATTTCTACAACACAGTATACGGCTATTTTCTTTATTATCCAAAACCAAAAGTGATCCTGCACGTGTCTTGATGTTAATGATAGTGAAATAGTGATAAATCAGAAAAATTAAGTTTTCTCTGGGGACAATATCAACTTGCAACACCCTGAATGCCCCTCTCTGCCATGAAGGAATTTAAGTAGTGCATTTTTGGTAAAAAGCTGATCACAAAACAATCGTAAAACAAAGTCCCAGACATCAGGCAGCGTATTTATAACCTTAACTTTCTGTATTTGAGCTTTAGGGGTATTCAGACATCTGGTTCCTATCACCACCACTGTGAACAATTCTGACTCTGCACGTTTCTGTAGAACAGAGCATTTCACAGCAAACCGCTCTGAATGACTGTTTACATCATAATCTTTTATTTATTTATTTATTTTTGAAGAATCACTGGAATTCCTCTTCAAACAATGTACCTGTCTTAAACAGCATGACTGACAGCACTGATGCTCTAATGCTTTATTTAAAAAGCATTGTTTAATGGTATCTTATAGCTAAGAGGCTAGTTGATAAAAGGGATGGTGTTTCAGTAAAAGAGTTATGAACTAAAATGCTGAAATTGCTAAAACAAGTTTATTAAATACAGCCTCTGAATCATATGATATTAAAAGTATCCACATTTAAATACAAAACATAAAAAAAAGAATGTCCAGAGTTTCAACACAAGAAACTAAGAATCTTTGAGTCCACCAGTAGTACTAGAACCCAGTTCATGTCAAGCTATGCAATGACATCACATGCAAAATATGTAAGAATGTGTGAATTGTAAAACAAATTCCCACGATGTGTGGTGAGGAAAGTGTGAGCAAATTTTCCCTTGAGTAGTGAAAAACAGTGAAGAATGAAAAGACCATATGTCTTTAAGGAGAACAATAAAATGTGTGAAATTTGTGGTGAAGGTTTTTTTAAACGTTCTCAGGGTGTGGTCTGCAGTGTGACCACCGAGTAAAAAGTTGTAAACAATTCACATGATGTAATGGTATGACTGTTATGTATGATGTAATGATATGTTGTGCGGATTGGATTGACAGAGCCATGTGTGGCAGGGCCTCTCGCCTCAAAGCGTGACTCATAATTGACCAGGTGTTTGAGGTCTTTTCACATAAACAAGACTAAAAACTGAATGAGGGACCAAGAGTCATGGATTCACCAAACAGTTTGAAATGACTGAAACTTGAGGAGTGGCCTCCGAAGACAAGCCAAACTTTGAGTATGAGGAAGGCCCTCATTCATAATGACGTGCCTTGACACTGTTGGCCCAGCATCAGTCAAAAAGAGTCAAAAGATGATGAAGAAAAGAAGGAGAAATGTAATGGCTACGAAGCTGAGGGTGAAGAAGAGCAAGAAGGTGAAAAACCAGAAGATGGACAAATTCTGAGTTGAAGACGGCCTGTTTAAACTGACCATAATGAGCAGATTCCCAATTTGCATTTGAAAATTTTGCCAAAAAATGTCAGAACAATCACTACATACCTCCTACACACCTCTTCTACACTGCAAAGCACATCCTGGAAACATTTTTAAAAAATCTCCACTGATGGGAATAGGACAAAACCTGGGAGCTTTTAAAAATAACTTCACCACAAATCATCCTGTGGTTCCATACATCCTGGCACTTCTATATGTTTTATTGTTCTCCTTAATGACACATGATCTTTTCATACTTTAAATATTTCCCATGTAACATCATCACCTAACTCATCAACCCTTTTGATATGAACTGGGTTCTATAATACTATTTCCACCTGGTCATAACATAGAAAACAAATGAAAAATATGGCACAATTCAATGGTCAAGGTGTAAACACAGTCATTTAAAGTGGTTTGGTGTGAAATGCTCCATTGTAGAGAAACTTACAGAGTCAGAATTGTTCACAGTGGTAGTGAATGGAACCAGACGTCTCAAATGTTTATTGCCTCTAAAAGCTCCCTCACAGAAAGCCATTACACACAATGGTGATGAATCTGTTGCTGGGGGCCTTACGCATTGTTGCACAGTAGCTTTGAGATAATGCTTTGGCTTTTAAAACACATTCATGGTGAAGGGGTACCTGCCAAAAACACATTATTCTGATTTATTTTATATGCATAGGTTCCCTGGTCATTTTGAAATGGCTATGTTTACATGAATGAATGGCTTTAGATGTTGGCTATATTAGACCCCTGGTTCCTATCACCACCACTGGTCGGTTTCCCCACAGTGAACCACTCTGAATGACTTTGTTTACATCTCAACTCAAGTCAGATGTGTATTTGCATGTGGAGATGCTTTATATCATGTTTGGAGTTAAGTTAATCGTTTGTGTTATATTTTGTTTTATTCTACCTTTTGCAGCACATTTTGGAGAGGGACTACAGGGGGCAGCCATGTTGTCCATTCCTGCAGCTAAGAGAGAGAGCTGTGGGACGAAGGACTTCCAGACTAAATCGTCACGGGAACCCAATCAAAGCCAGGGCTATGAAATTATATCAGCGCGGGTCAAAACTGAAAGTGATGAAGACCCCATTTGGGCGTGTTACGCGTCATTAGAAAAAGAGTGGGACAGCGACGCTGCTGGAATTAAAACAGAAGATCTCTGGATAAAAACTGAACCCTCAGAACTTGACAAGCACAATGCAATGACCATTTATGTTTCTAATCAAAAAGCTTCATCGGCTGTGAGGGAGAGTGGACCTCAGGCGAACAGTGCTGCAGTGCTTAGTGGCATCACTGTAAAGGATGAAGATCCTATCTGGGCTTGCTACAGCTCCATCACGGGGACTGAGAACCAGAGAGCAGAGACCAACATTAAACCAGAAAGTCTACCAATCAAGAAGGAGGACTTCTTTTCTGCCACTCATTCTATGAAGTCCGTTTTTGAGACAGTAGATAAGGATTACCATTCCCAACCTTCATCTGGGAACACTACACAGCAGGCATTCCAGTCCCCACTAGCCGGTCTGGCACAGTGTATAGCGGGTCTAGACAGCTTTAGCTGCTCTTCACAGAGGTTAACCACACCCACTCGGGTCATGTCCCCAGTGCATCAGACTAAGAATCCAATCCAGCAGAAGGCACAACCTTCAGGCAAACAGCATCTGAAGGACTGTACTTCCAAAAGCTTTACTGCTAACAAGCCTTCAGGGCCTGTTGGCTGGCCTGTATACCATCCACAACCACCCAGAGACAAAGAGTGGGACAGCGACGCTGCTGGAATTGAAACAGAAGATCTCTGGATAAAACCTCAACCCTCAGAACTTGACAAGCACGATGCAATGACCCTTTGTGTTTCTAATCAGAAAGCTCCATCAGCTTTGCAGCAGAGTGGACCCCAAGCGAACAGTGCTGCAGTGCTTAGTGGCATCACTGTAAAGGATGAAGATCCTATCTGGGCTTGCTACAGCTCCATCACAGGGGACTGAGAACCAGAGAGCAGAGACCAACATTAAACCAGAAAGTCTACCAATCAAGGAGGACTTCTTTCCTGCCACTCGTTCTCTGAAAGCCATTTTTGAGACAGTGAATAAGGATTACCATTCCCAACCTTCATCTGGGAACACTACACAGCAGCCATTCCAGTGCCCACTAGATGGTATGGCACAGTGTATAGCGAATCTAGATAAGCCTAGCTGCCCTGTTTCTTCACAGAGGTTAACCAGACCCACTCGGGTCATGTCCCCAGCGCATCAGACTAAGGATCCAATTCAGCAGAAGGCACAACCTTCAGGCAAACAACATCTGAAGGACTGTACTTCCAAAAGCTTTACTGCTAACAAGCCTTCAGGGCCCGTTGGCAGGCCTGTATACCGTCCACAACCACTCAGAGAGACCATTGTGCCCCAGAAATCGAAGGTACCTCAAGTTATTTTGGTTCCTTTGTCCTCATGCCCTGTTGACAATGTCCCAGATGTGACCCTCAAACAAGCACAAGCTCAGAATTACGGCAAGCCTGAAGCGCAACAGACCACAAATGAGGTGAATTCTCCCTATCCTGGACAACAAGGACAAACTGGAAAGCGTGGTGAAGAGAACCGGTTGCAGCTGAGATCTGCCCAAGAGAAGACCAAGACAGCCTCCTGTCATTACTGTCGACACTGTCAACAAACTATGCGCTCACATTATAAGGAAGGAGGTCAATATAAATTTCCAAACACAGCGAAGTTAAGCGACTTGCCAAGAAACTGGAAATGCTGCAAGTGCGACGTTGTTTTCGCTCAACCAGGAAACTTATTTTTGCACTTGGCTAAGGCGCACAAGTCTTCCTTCTCATGCCAAACGTGTGGAATGGCATTTGACACTAAAGGCAAGCTGCAATATCATAAATACAGTCATGAATCCTCTGTCTCGTGCGACGAGTGCGGGAAGGTCTGCCGCTCTACGTTTCATCTCAGGTATCACAAATTTATTCACGATGAAGATGCGGTCAAACACTTCTGTGAGCTGTGCGGCAAGGGCTTCAGACAAAAAACATCCCTCCAGGTGCACATGACCGTGCACACTGGCGAAAGACGACACGAGTGTCCAGACTGCAAAGCCACGTTTAAGGTTTTCAGTCACCTCGTCAGGCATCGACTCATGCATACGGACTCGAGGCCGTTCTCATGCCCTGTGTGCAAGGCCGGCTTCAGAACCAAGGCGAATGTGCGAGCTCACCTAAAGACTCATGATAAAAGAAGTGACGAGAGGAAGAGAGGGATGGGGAAAAGGAAAAGAAAGCTGTCTGAGTCAGAGGAGGAGTGGCAAGAGGAAGATGATGTGGAAGAGGAAGGAGAAGAATCAGATGAAGAGGAGGATGAACATGATGAAGAAGAGAAGGTGGAGTAGCAGGGGAAAAAGGATGTTAGCAGTGGTTACTGTAAGAGCATGTTGTCATTGAGAAACCATTAGTTCAGGCCATGAATGTCAAAACATGGTTAAAAACAAAGAAAAAGCATCTCTGTCAAAAAGCTCGTTTCTGCTAGCATCCCTAGGGAATTCTAGTAGTCTGTTAGCGCTCAGCTAACTGCAATTATGGACTTTTATGGTCATTCTAGATTAAACACAGGTAACTGAAACTTGTAAAACACATTCGATGTTGTATTTAAAGCTTGTAACTATGTTGTACCTGGTTTGTAGTTGCTGCATTCCATTGCTAACAGCTGACTGAAATCTGGTTAGCCTACGGCTCATATTCACAGTCAGTGACGTAGAACTTTCATAAGGCCTAGAGTGACGTTTTTTTCTCGCAATATTGGTCAGAATTATTGCCAATTAAAATGTGATTGGTTATCACTTTCTAACTGTGTTAGTGATTCATCTTTAAGGCCTTCTGTTCAACTCCTGAAGTCCTAATCAATGGGATGGCTAGATGGACTGTATCTGCTCAGACACCACAGAAAAGAACAGTCCTGATTGGATCATTTTCTGTTTGCCTTTTTAAGAAATTACCCCTTTTGTTTCCAACCAAACCTTAACAATGGAATGAGTGTGTAGTCTTCGTGTAGACATGTATCACTGTTATTAGTAGTAGTAGTATTTCCTAGGAATATGGCCTTCTCAGAAGCCCCTATTGCTTATTATTCAGGAACATTATTTTATTTGCTAGAGTTTTCTGATCCAGATCATAAAGTCCCAGCGAAGGTCTGTCTCCTAATGAATGTAATTATACAAATGGCCTGAGAAGAGCTGGTTCTTTTTATATGGCATTGTAGTTGTTGACACTTTACAATGAAATTAAAGTCCATTTTACATCAAACAGCTCCACTTTTGTTTTTGTGATTGTTTATTTGGCACTGTGTGAGGTCTCTCGAATGATCCTGATGGAATCTCCCTTGTTACAGTTAAGGATGGAATGAGTGTTTTGTTGGCAAGAACAGTTCTTAACTTAAGAAATAAACAAAATAGTAGTTTTGATGCAAAATGCAGAAATCAAAGATTGAGCAAAACTCATTATGATTTAAACTGATATCATAAACTCATTTCCAGTACCTTCCTCTTTTGTTCGGAGGCTTATTAGTGTACATTTTCTGACATTAGAGTATTAATTATTAAACAATAACCAAAAACCGCTGGTAATATTTTCACAAGATGGTAGAAAAAATGTTAAAGCAGACAAAATTCTTGAGTATTACATTAAAGATATTTATTTATTATTGTCATCGCTGCAATAAGAGCAAGTTAATCAGGTCTCTTGTGACTATAGAAGCTGTAGGTGAGATTCCACCCAGTCTTAAGTTAAGCCTTATCAAGCCGGTAGCAGTCACTTATAAGGGAATCCCATTGATTTTTCAACATCCATGCAAAATTCAGTCACTAAGATGTAAACAAGGCCATTCAGAGTGGTTTGGTGTGAAATCTTCATTCTGGAGAAACGTACTGAGTCAGTTTTGTTTACAGTGGTGGTGATAGGAACCAGACGTCTGAAGAGTTTAATGCCCCTAAAAAAAGTTCCTTCACATAAAGTTCTACATTTCACACCAAACCACTCTGAATGGCCTTGTTTACCTCTTAGAATGGAGCCTTTCACACCAAACCACTCTGAATGACTGTTTACATAATTACACAGTTATGCAGGAATTAGGGGTGACTCTGTAGAATTCCTCTTTAAATAGCAGTTATATTAAAGTGGAATCCCAATAATTTTGAAAAATAAAGTCTGCATAATTCAGTTGTTGAGATGTAAGCAAAGCCATTTGTAGTGGTTTGGTGTGAAAGGCTCTGTTCTAGAGAAACTGCAGAAACTTCAGTCAGAATTATTCAAAAAGGTGATGATGGAGCGTTTAATGGTTCTAAAAGCTACATGAAACCAAACCAAATCTGATTGCTTAAGACATTGTTTTATACTACCTAAGATGACAAACATTTTATGAAACAATAGTGGAGAGACATGGCAAATAGAAAAAAAACTTTTTATATGGAAAATAAAAACACATTTTCACAAATATTCATATAGATTACATAATACAAAATATAAAAATGTAGGTTTGCCGGTGGTTTTGGACAGTAAATACAATTTCCCATCACAACTTCAGGCTAACGTGACCCGTCTACAAGTAAAGAGTGAGGTCCTTAACTCTGAACAAAGACTGTGTGAATGACAGTGATGTGGCAGTCATTGTTCACACATTCATGGCTAAGCTGAGGGGACAGACGTCTGGCAGCATTCGGTCAACACCTATAAAACAGAATGGTGAGACTGTTTCACGGAGACAAAGTCAAGTCGAATCAACTCAGAACAAAGACCGTATGAGTGGCCAGCGATCAGGTACCCATTCAGTGGGCGAGGCAGAGGAGTCATCAGTCAGGCACCATTTAGTCTAAACTGTAATTAACTCAATAAATGAAGTCTGTTGTACATAAAACTGAACATACCCCACATATTCCTCATAATTTTAGGTTGAGGGAACATGGATGATGATTTCATACAACTCAAATGGCATTTTTGAGTTGAATTCACTTATTGCAGTTCTGTCTGTTGCTACGGCAGCTTTGAAACAGCCACATTCAAAAAAAATGACACTGCACTGCTGTTGGTTTTAATCGTTTCTCTCTCGTTAAAGTTACTAAATAAATGTGTAGAGCTGAGTGAAGCTAAGTGAGCTGTGTTAAACTCCTTGGTTCCAAAACGCACTTCGTCATATTCTTCATAACTTTCATATCTCATAAGCTACATTCTAAAGGTGGGGGTCATATGAGAGCTGTAACTGTCTTCTTTCCAGTCAAATAGATGGGTAATGTAATTTTAAACCCTTATAATAAAAGAAGCTGAACTCACTATAAACTATAAACAGACGGCGTCTTTTCAGAGTTTTGATAAACTCTGTAAAAATTATTTTTGTAAAATAATACAAAGAGCGTCTGAGATTTTTGGCTTTCAGCAGTAAACTGTAAGCATATAGCGATATGTGTATGATCACACATTTTCTGTTAATTTGTGGGAAGCTTTTACAAATAAATAAATAAATAAAAATGTGCATTTATTTCATGCAGTTACTGAATAATTTGCCTTACAATTTGGTCGTGTAAATTCAGATGGAAAAACCAAAATATACCCTTTCGAATAAGAGGTTAAGTGAAACACAGTGATGCTTGTTTTGTTAAAATGATCTTGTTGGATGACACTTATCTGTTTCCCGTTGGCTCCTGGTTCCATCTGTTTGCATATTGGGCTATTTTCTCGTTTGTTTTACTCACCACCGGTGTGTTTTTTTCATTCTACTCATTTTTTTGGGTACTTTCCTCATTGTGCTTGCTCAGCTGCCTGACCTCGTGTTGTTGGCTACAAGGGTGAGTTAACGTTCTGTGCTGTGGACCTGTGCTGGTGGGTGACCACATTCACACTGAGGATTATCCCTTCAGTGCACTGTAAAAAAAACTGGCTCATCAATTCAACCTAAAAAAAATACTTCATGTAGTAACAAGTGAATTATCTCATTTATTCAACCTAAATAAGTGCTTTGAATGAATGATTTCTGAGTTGAATGAAACCAGTTCAGTTGCTTGTTTCTACGTTTAATTAAACGTGAACTAGTTTGGGTTTGAAGTGCACTGAAAATATAAACAAGTTAGACAAGATGGGCTGTTTCTTCAGGTCAGGTCAAGCTTTATTGTCAGTCCTGCTCACCACAGATATGTGCTTAGTAAAGAGATTTCACCTCTGCATTTTGACCCATCCGTGCAGTGAAACACCACATACACACTAGTGAACACACACACTGAGAGGCAGTGCCCAGAGCGCTGGGCAGCCCTATCCGCAGCGTCCAGGGGGCAGTTGGGGGTT